TCATTGGTGGGCAGGATCGAACCTGGGACCTCAGTGCATGAGCCAAAGGCTGTAGCTAGCGCTAGCGCGCGCGCGCACACGCACACGCACACGCACACACACACACACACACACACACACACCCTACCTCAGTGCCACTAGAGGGGACAGAACGCTACAGCAACAGGTGTGGGGAATACACAAGCAACAGAAAGCAATTACTGTGCTGGCATGTAAGCTCTTTTCTGCAATGGGTCATCGTCCCCTGCCTTCGAAAGGACTCCCCCACTGACGAGCCTGAGCTATCTTTGCAAGGATGCCAGACAGCTCTCCCGGGCTCAGCATACCGTTAGACAACTAGATGATACATTACTTGTTCCTGAAATCCTCCACAAGATCCTGCATGTTCTTCAGCTCGCCCTCCAGGCGCCCCTTGTCATTCAGCCACCCGTCTAGCTGCTTCCGCAGGTTGTTGATGTAGGCCTCGAACATGGGAGCAATGTTGCTGCGGGTGGTCTTTTGGTCCTGCAGGAGGCTCCATTTGGTCTCCAGCACTTTGTTTTGCTGCTCCAGGAAGCGGACCTGCAAGCCAGGAGAGGAACCAGACCTCGTTACTGAGCCAGCTATAACAGTATCACAGGGGTTCTCGAACTGGGGGTCAGGACTCCTCAGGGGGTCATGAGGTTATTACATGGGGGGGTCGCGAGCTGTCAGCCTCCACCCCAAACCCTGCTTGGCCTCCAGCATTTATAATGGTGTTAAATAGGTACAAAAGTGTTTTTAATGTATAAGGGGGGGGGTCGCACACAGAGGCTAGCTGTGTGAAAGGGGTCACCCGTGCAAAAGTTTGAGAACCACTGGATTGCTTCAAGAACTTACATATTGTGCGAGGGGTGGGGGAGGGGAAAGGGATTGGAACTATTCAGGGAGAGGTTTTGAGATTCTGAACCGAGATAACACCCCAGTTTTCCTACGACTGGTTCACTATGCAAAGGCAGCTTTTTATTGCTAGAGAGGGTCAGATTTTGCTTCCCCAGGGAATCTGCCTAATCACTTCGAGGGCAACTGGATCATAGAGCTGAACGCCCGTCACCCTTCGAGGGGATTTAAAAACCCCCAGCCTGGATTCCCATCCAAATTTTGCACATGGGTCAGTTGCCCAACTGGGGTAAAACAGCAGAGCTAAGTGGGTGTCAATTAACTTCAATAGAGCCACACCGATTTACGGCAAGTCCTGAGAACAGGTCAGCTCAAAGCCCCAGATCCAAGCACCGCCTTGAGTTTGGTGGTGTTGGATTAGCACCCAGATCTGACCTTTTGGGGCTTCTGAAATCCCTGGGATTTTTGCAGCGTAGCCTAGGTTCCCTGAATGGCACCAGCTTAATAAACAGGGAGCAAGCGCCGAGGCCTTCACTGAAGCAAAAATTGTTGTGGAAGTCAACAAGAGTAAGAATTCAATAAGGGCTACAGGATAATTTGACCATCCATCTTTAGAACTACGGGGCCTGATCCAAAGCCCACTGAAGTCCAGGGAAAGTCCCCCGCTGGTTTCACTGGGGTTTGGATCATCTCACGAGTTGCCACCTGTTCCTGCATCTCACCTTGTCGATGAAGGAGGCGAATTTGTTGTTGAGGGTCTTGATCTGCTCCTTCTCCTCTTTACGGACCGTCTGGAGGGTGGGGTCGATCTGCACGTTGAGGGGCACCAGGAGGCTCGGGTTGATGGTCACCTCTTGGATGCCGGCACCTGCGAACCCACCACCGGCTCCTGCGCCGTACCCAGCGCCGAGCCCATATCCAGAGTGGACGCTGTAGGAGCTGCCTCCACCGCCCAGCGAAATCCTCTTGTTGGCAGAGCCTAAACTATAGAGACTGGAGCTGCCAAAGCCACCTGCCCTTCCCAAGCCGGCACCCCCGCCCAAGCCGCGGGTCGAGGAGACATTGCTGACTCGGACCTGTCTAAAGCCCCCTGCGGGGGCAGCAGAGCGAGAGCTGAAACTTACAGACCTCGACATGGCTACTGGGCTGGGTTCTGTCCTTCCCCTCCCAAGAAAGCTCAGGCAGGCTACAGTGGAGATCAGGCGAGAGCAAATGCGTCCCTCTGAGCCTTCCTCTCCTTTTATCCGTTAGAACAGCGGGGCTTGGTTAGAGGGCAGAGGAAGGATCATTTTACGGAGGGCTGGGTGTGGCTGGCAGCTGGCCTAGCTCATTCAACCTGCTGAAGGCGGAGCGTTGGGGGAATGCTCCCATGAAATAGTATCACTCCTTTCCTCTCACAGATGTTAGCAGAGGGTTCTTTTACTCCTGAACTTTCCTTTAGTTCTTTGCCGCTTGGAAAGAACTTTTATAGCCTCAAGACATTGGGATTCGTCTGTATATTTCCTCTAGGTTCACAGAAGCAAAAATAAAGGGCAGCCATCCCTTAGCAGTCACAGGGGGCCTGATTCTCATTGAGCTCCGGCTCTGCACAGGAGCCTTAAAAAGGAACAAAGGCATGTGACGTTGCCCGGGCCAGAATGGGGGGAAAGGGGGCCTTTTGCGAATCAGGCCCAGACAACCCGACATAAATCAAGAAATCTACAACAACCGCCTTCCCCCCTCGCCCCCCCAAACAAGACAGTAAAACCTCAGAGTTACGAACACCTTGATAAGGGAGGTTGTTCAGAACTCTGAAAGGGTCAGAACGCGGAGCAAAACGTTCCGGTTGTTCTTTCAAAAAGTTTACAACCGAACATTGGCTTAATACAGCATTGAGACTTTACTCTGCGGAAGGAAAATGCTGCGTTCCCTTGGTTTTTATTCGCTTACATTGAACACGGTACTGTCCTGTATTGGCGCTTGGTTTTGTTTTGTTTTTCTCTGCTGCTGCCTGATTGCGTATGTCTGGTTCCACATGAGATGTGCGGTTGACTGGTCCGTTCGTAACTCTGAGGTTCTGCTGTATATGGCAGATCCCACTTAAACGTCACAGCGCAAGAGAGATAAGGAAAGGCACTCAGACAGCGCTCCTTTGAGAGCAGCTGCAGCCTTTATGACAGAAGAGACACGCAGGCCTGTCGCCTGGCCTCTTCCCGTTTCTTCTGACTTGTTTCCCTTCTTGATCTAAAATAAAAGCCAGTTGAGACTGAAGGTGTGTGTTTTGCACTCTGGGCAAGGAAATGTGCCGCTGTATAGCTCCACGGTCAAAACACCCAGGGTCAGCGCCTGCGGTAATCCATCTGACTCCTACACAGAAGGAGGCACAAAGTACAAATATTTTTGAAAGCCTCTCCCACTTCTGAATGTCTACAATGAGGAGTATGTCCCTGCTAGGCTCTTTAAGCCCTACCCTGATATTTGAAAATCATGCATGGATATTTAACCCCCTGTGCTCTTCTGCAGGGCAGAATGAGATGGGCAGGGGGGCAGGGAATGATGGTACAATGTTCTGGCTAAATCACTTTCAAAATATTTGCCCACCCCTATGTGGGCAAAGTGGGAGGCAGCTGGAGTGGATCGCAGCCGTTCCACGCGGGATCCTCTTTGTTAACCATGTAGGAGAAATAGCTTTATTCACTGACTGACAGACATACGGGGTCTGCTGCTTCCTTTCCATGCACCGGTGCTTAGGTTGGATTTAATTAACGCGCGCTAGCAAAGCCCGGCCCCGGCACAATCTTTTTGCCTAGCGTAGAACCGAATTAACACCTGGCTCTTGGTTTTTAGCTGATGGAGCTTGAGCGTTGGCTCCTTTGTAGTGTCTTTTACACCCGTGCAAAATGGGGACAAAATGCAGCCAACCACAACTGGGTGTGTTTCACGTTCAGTTTGCACACAGAGAAAAGGACAACGTAAGGTGCAAGGCAGGAGGAAATCAGACCCATTAAAAGGTAACCTTGATCTCAGTTAAACCGGTATAAATCCAGACTTACTCTCATGAAGCCAATGGCCCGCCCTGATTCAGATGTCACTTATACCAGTTCTAACCCAGGGTAACTCTATTTATTGCAGTGGACTTGGTCCTGATTTACATCAGCAAGAGAGAAGAATCAGGTCCATTAGAAACCAGTTTCTACTCCCATTTACACCCAAATAACTTCACTGATTTCAACCGAGTTAACTCCGGATTTCCACCAGGGAAAGTGAGAGCAGGGTTTGGCTCCGCCCGGTTCTCTGGCAGTCCCGACAGATTAGAAGCAAAGTTTCTTTTTGTTGTTGTGGACGCCATGGTAACTCTGCATAGTTTTGCACCTGGCTGAACTAATGAATGCTTACAAATCCATGTGAATGACCCCTTAGTGACTCTGCAACAAGACACAGTATGAACCTGTTAAACACTTTCCCTTCAGGAAGCAAAAGCCTTGGAGTTCTGGCTAGAGCTGGGGCAACAAGTCAAAACATTTCATTTCACCTTTTTTCAAAACAAAAAGTGTTGACTTTTTGATTCAAACTGAATGTTTGTTTTGACTTTGCTTGAAATTTTGTTTTTAAAACATTTGAAAAGGTGTGTGTGAGTGTGGGAGGAAAACCCTTCCAAATGAAAGTTTCATTTGACCCAAAACAAACAAACAAAGAACAACTTCTTCAGTTTGCTGAAAAATTCAAAATATGTTTATTTCAGGTCGACCCAAATCTATTTTTCCTGATTGTATGGTTCAGCCATTGAACCAAAAAATCAGTTATTTGAACTGCCCCGGTTCAGGTTGCTTGCTTCAAGCTTAATCTTTCTCTTCATGGGGTCACACCACCCATCCGATGCACGCCTGGGAACAGTCCCTTTTCTGTGGAATGGAATGAGTCATAACAGAGAAAATACAAAGTCAATACAAAGTCCTTATATAAACACGTGGACATGCACAAGGAGGTGAGGCCTCATTTCTGCAGGGCCTTGCCCAGCAAGAGCTAGTTGTTACACTCTGGTGTGTAAACACAGCCCTCTGCATTAAGCAGCAGTGAATCTAACTCCGTGTGAACCTGAGCTGTTAATGTCAAGACCGGTGGGTAGGAAAGAGAGGCCATGTTGGCAGGAAACGGAGATGGAGCTAAGGATGATTCTCATCATGAAAACAAGATGCTTATGGACCACAGATTCATAGATTTTCATAGAATCATAGAACTGGAAGGGACCTCGAGAGGTCATCTAGTCCTGTCCCCTGCATTCATGGCAGGACTAAGTATGCATAGAATCATAGAATATCAGGGTTGGAAGGGACCTCAGGAGGTATCTACTCCAACCCCCTACTCAAAGCAGAACCAATCCCCAACTAAATCATCCCAGCCAGGGCTTTGTCAAGCCTGACCTTAAAAACCTCTAAGGAAGGAGATTCCACCACCTCCCTAGGTAACCCATTCCAGTGCTTCACCACCCTCCTAGTGAAATAGTGTTTCCTAATATCCAACCTAGATCTCCCCCACTGCGACTTGAGACCATTACTCCTTGTTCTGTCATCTGGTACCACTGAGAACAGTCTAGATCCGTCCTCTTTGGAACCCCCTTTCAGGTAGTTGAAAGCAGCTATCAAATCCCCCCTCATTCTTCTCTGCATACTAAACAATCCCAGTTCCCTCAGCCTCTCCTCATAAGTCATGTGCTCCAGCCCCTAATCATTTTTGTTGCCCTCTGCTGGACTCTGTCCAATTTTTCCACATCCTTCTTGTAGTGTGGGGCCCAAAACTGGACACAGTACTCCAGATGAGGCCTCACCAATGTCGAATAGAGGGGAATGATCACGTCCCTCGATCTGCTGGCAATGTCCCTACCTATACAGCCCAAAATGCCATTGGCCTTCTTGGCAACAAGGACACACTGTTGACTCATATCCAGCTTCTCGTCCACTGTAACCCCTAGGTCCTTTTCTGCAGAACTGCTTCCTAGCCATTCAGTCCTTATCTAGACCATCCCTGACAGGTGTTTGTCCAACCTGCTCTTAAAAATCCCCAACGATGGAGATTCCACCACCTCCCTCGGCAATTTATTCCAGTGCTTAGCCACTCTGACAGTTAGGAAGCTTTTCCTAATGTCCAACCTAAACCGCCCTTGCTGCAATTTAAGCCCATTTTACAGCAAGACGGGACCATTAGGTCATCTAGTCTGGCCTCTTGTATAGCATAGACCATAGAAGTTTAGCCGGCTACCCCTCCAACGGGCCCAATAATTTACGGTTAGGCTTGGCGGAAATGAATTTCTATTTTTTCATCATTTCGGTGGATAATATCGATTCTTATTTTTAAGCATTTTTCATGGTTGCACAGAATGATGGGGTTTAAGCATTTTTTGTTACCGATTTAAATTGTCACCATTTCAGGACACGATGGGCGGCTCGGACAGTAGGAGGGGTCAGACGACAATTATTTCATGGCAGTCGACACTGAGATTCGAAAAGTGAAAGCTTTATCGCCATTGAAACCCCGATTGCCTATGTCACGTGTCAAAATATACAAAGTAAATAGCCTTCAATCAAACTTTAATATGTTCTCAAGCAGCATTGCTCTTATTTTGCCTGTCTGTGAGTTTTGATGATTACCAGTGGAAATGTCTTTTGATCGGTTTCGGTGTGTTGCGGTGAAATCAACATTTACCTGCAGCCCCTTGCAGTGTAGACGTACCCAGAATGGCCCGGGTAGGATGACGATCTCTTCCCCAAATGGTGCATCTGATCTGCATCCAGCTAGTGATTAAACACAGGTGTGGGTTAGGGTTTGCCCTCCTATGGAGGCTCCCCAGTGCCCCCGTTAATAGGCTGAGTTGGTGAATACGGAGCTGAGGAAGAGCAGTTGTAAGTGTGTCTGTTGAGGGACCCAGGAGGAAAGAAGATCTGCACTGCAGATCTGATTGTAAAGCAGCAAGTTCTGCAGTAACTTGACCCCTGCCAACATCTGCCTGACTGAGAATCTCCTGCAGAAGCGCTGGTTGTGCAGGTTAAGCCTGCCCGGGGTGGAGAGGCTGGAGGCTGTTTTGATCCACAAATTCTCCCCGATTGTCAATAACTGAGAAACTTGTTTGGGTCAGTTCTATCCTCGCTTCATTCACCTTGAAATAGGCACCTCTCCCGCCTCTGCCTCTTGCATCTAACAGCTTCGCAGTTGTGTACATCAAGACAGCATAATTTAAAGGAGAGAAC